ACCCTGACGCAACCCTGACGCAACCCTGACGCAAGCCTGACGCAACCCTGACGTTCCGACTGTGACGCATCCCTAAAGCAAACTTGACGTTTTACCATTGACGCATCCCTAAAGCAACCCTGATGTTGTAACCCTAACGCACCTCTTAAGCAACCCTGACGTTCCCACTCTGACGCATCCGTAAAGCAACCATGACGTTCTAACCATGACGCATCTCCAAAGCAACCCCGAAATTCAAACCTTAACGCATGCCTAAAGCAACCCTGACATTTCAACCCCGACGCATCCCTAAAGCAACACCGACGTTTTAACCCTGATGCATCCCTAAAGCAACCTTGACGTTCCAAACATGACGCATCCCTAAAGAAACCCTGACGTTCCAACCCTGACGCATTTCTAAAGCAACCGCGATGTTCCAATCATGACGCATCACTAAAGCCACTTCTACGTTCCAACCCTAACGAATCCCCAAAGAAACCCCGACGTTCAAAAACTGACGCATCACGAAAGCTACTTAGACTTTCCAACCCTGACGCATCCCTAAAGCAACCCCGACGTTCTAACCCTGACGCATTTCTACTGCAACCCCGACGTTCCCACCCCAATAGAACCCCGACGTTTTAACCCTAGCGCATCCCTTTAGCAACCTCGACGTTTCAACCCTGACGCCACACCGACGTTTCAATCCTGACGCATTCATAAAGCCACCATGACATTCTAACCTTGACGTATTCCTTAATCAACTACGACGTTCCAACCCTAAAGCAACCCCGACGTTTCGACCCTGACGCAACCTTAAATCTATTTCGACGTTCCAACCCTAACGCATCCCTAAAGCAACCTTGACGTACTAACCCTGACGCATCCCTAAAGCAAAATTGACGTTCTAACCCAGGCGCATCTCTTAAGAAACCCTGACGTTCCCACTCTGACGCATTCCTAAAGCAACCTCGACTTTCCAAACCTGACGCATCCCTAAGGCAACCCCGACGTACAAACCCTGAGGCATCCCTAAAGCAACACTGACATTCCATCCCTTACACATCCCAAAAAGAAACCCTGACGTCCAACACTGACGCATTCCTAAAGCAACCTTGACGTTTTACTATTGACGCATCCCTAAAGTAACCCTCACGTTCTAACACTGACGCATCTCTTAAGCAACTTTGACATTTTAACCCTGACGCATCCCTAAAGCAACCGCGAAGTTTCAACCCTGACGCATCCCTAAAGAAATTCCGAAGTTCCTATTCTGACGCATCCCTAAAGCAACCCCGAATTTCCAACCCTGATACATTCCCTAAGCAACAAAGGCGTTCACACCCTGATGCATCCCTAAAGCAACCCTGACGTTTCAAACCTGACGCAACCCTGACGCAATCCTGACGCAACTCTGACCCATCGCTTAAGCAACCCCGAAGTACCAACACTAACGCATCCCTAAATCAACCCCGACTTTCCAACTCTGACGCATCCTTAAAGCAGTTGCGACGTTGTAACCCAAAAGAAACCCTGACGTTGCAACTCTGACGCATCCCTAAAGCAACATTGTCGTTTTACCATTGACGCATCCATAAAGCAACTCTGACGTTCTAACCCTGACGCATCTCTTAAGCAACCCTGACGTTCCAACCCTGACGCATCCCTAAAGCAACCTTTTACCTTTTACCATTGACGCATCCGTAAAGCAACCCTGACGTTCTAACCCTGACGCTTCTCTTAAGCAACCCTGACGTTCCCACTCTGACGAATCCCTAAAGCAATCTCGACGTATCAACCCTGACGCATCCCTAAAGCAAACCTGACGTTCAAACCCTAAAGAATCCCTAAAGCTAACCTTACGTTCTAACCCTGACGCAACCCTGACGCAACCCTTTTTTTTGTTTTTTTCTTTCGTTAGGGGGAAAACCTTCAATAGGCCCGTTGGACCCGGTACCCAAGGGAATGTCGGATTCTTACCGACTAAAAACCTACCTGGTGCAACACTCACACGCGAGGGGAGGAGGCAGGCGCAACGCACGATTAGTACAATTCCAATTGCCTTTGTGCCTCTACCCTAACAAGCCCGGCTGGATGTTCTCCACGCTTTCTCCTACACACGCACACACTCTCATTACTCCTGCATCCGGCGCTGTAACCAGGAAAGTTTCCTCCCCAAGGTCGCTATCTCACACACCTAGGACCACTCAACAGTTGAGCATGAACCCCAATGGAGACGCAGGCTACTCACTCACTCCTGGCCTGACCTTACATTGAACGGTGTTCTGGTCAGGCCCACTCCACTCTTATACCATGACGGCACTCCATAAGGGGGAAGCGACGCACATCAATCAGACATTTGCCGCGCGAGTTAAGCGAAGCCTCGCCTGAGGGGGCAGCCTAGGAGCGAGACTTCTCTGCCGTCCAGCACGCAACCTTCTCCCATTCATCCATTCTCTCTCCCTCTCCGGATTGTCCTTTTCGCGCATCACGCATCCCGCGAAGGACTGGAATGCAGTCGACCCTCCCGGCATATCCAGGGATGCCCTAAATATGCCGGAGAGGGAGACCCGCACCACCCCCAATTCCCTGACAAGACCGTCCAGCTCATTCACCTACGCAGGGCAGTAAACCAGGGTGTGATCTTCATTATTTACGTTTGCTCCGCAGTGAAACCACTGCGGAGATGCCGCTTTCCATATTCTGAAAAGGTACGCAGGGAAGCAGCCATGTCCAGTCATCAGCTGAGTGGTGTGAAAGGTCGTACCTATAGAGTACGGCCTCTCAACCCACTCATCCAACCTGCCAGCAATAGCCGCCCTTACCCGCGCCCCCGTTTTCCCCGTTGCCCCTATTAGGATAATCTCCTCTTCCTTCCATGCAGCAATCGCCATCCTCCTGGCCTCAGCGCCCAACGCCCGGACAGGTCCCTCCGCGTCACCAAGGGTCGAATACACGTCCGCTAGTCGGGGCGCAAGATGATCAAGGGGAATTATCCCCGCAACCATCATTACCGCATGGAACGACACCGTTTTATAGGCGCAATAAACCCTGATCGCCACCCTCCTCAGGAACGATCGAATGGCCCTCTTGACACGCATGTCCTCCGCGGCAGCGCGCCACTACGCCGGCGCCTCATAAAGAAGCACCTATTGGATCACGCTGCCGTAGAGGCGCCTCTTCTTTTCCCGCGGTCCGTAAGAGTTTGGAAGGAGCCTTCCCAGAGACCGAAAGATCCCCTCCGCCTTAGGAATCAAGGCCGCGAAGTGAGGCCTGAACGTTAGATCCAAGTCAAACACCACGCCCAGGTACCTAACTCTGGGACCTATGAAAACCCGAGACATTCTAACCCTAATGGCAGGGGCTGGAATATTCCTGCGTTTGCGGAGGGCAGAGGCAGGGAAAGCTATTGCCTCCGTCTTTTGTGGCGCCACCTCGAGACCAAGCTCTTTGATCGCACCCACGATTAAATCGAGATTCCGTTCCGCGTTCGCGATCGCCTCTGACAGGTCCCGCCCTAATGACAGGAGGGCCGTATCGTCTGCATAACAGACGACCCGGGAACCCCCTGGCATCGGAACCCGGAGGACACTGTCATAGGCGATATTCCACAGGTTTGGTCCCAGCACCGAACCGTGCAGGACCCCTCACGACACCCGTCTTTCCACCAATCGTCCTCGCCTCCCGACAAACATCAACGATCGGTCCGATAGATAGCTCCTAACAATGTTCGCGATATACGTGGGAAGGCCCTTCTCGTCCCACGCCCGGAAGATGGTCTCCCACTGTAGCGAATTGAACGCATTGCTGATGTCCAGCGAGGTCATGATCCCGACGCGCTCACTGTCCACGCACTCCCGCACAATACTTTTCACCACTATAATGGCACCTACCGTTGAGCGTTCAACGCAAAAGCCATGCTGCGCCTGTGAAAGCAGACCCCTTGACTCCAGGCACTCACCCATCCTTGACACTATTATCCTTTCAAGAAGTTTTCCAATCTTATCCAGCAGGCAGATTGGTCTGTAGGAGGCAGGCAGGTCGGGTTGGGCGTCCTGCTTCTTCTTTATCAGGACCAGCCTAGCCCTCTTTCAGGCTGTGGGAAAGTTGCTAGTCCTAAGACACTCCGTGAAAAGCTCCGCGAGACCGACCCCACAGTGTACTGCTGCTGCTCTTATCACTATGACCGGGACCCTATCCGGTCCCGGAGCCTTCCCACCGGTTATCCTCTTCGCCGCAGCCAGCACCACCTCCGGCGTTACCGCTGCACCATTCACCTGCACCCCGCGCACGTTCTGAGCATTGATCTGCTCCACATGGGGAAAGAAACCTCCCAACAGCCGGTCCAAAACGTCCGGTTCGAGCACCTCCGTCAGGGGTGCAGGGTATTGCTTTAGCTTTCCTATGACAAGGCGATATGGTCTGCCGCACGGGTCTGCCTCCAGTGTCCCTATGAAGTCTATCCAGGCAGTTTCTTTGGCCTTCTTAATGGCCCTTTTCAAAAGTTTTTTAGTCTCCCTGCGGGCCTCCAGACACAGCTCTATTCTTCTTTGGTCCTTGCTGCATCTGGCCTTCAGAAAGCGCCTCCTAGCCGCAGTCGCTTCCGCCCTGAAAGCAGACAGTTACGGCGACCACCAGCACGCCTTCCTCCTCTTATTCTTAGTGTTCCCTGCTCTCGACAGTGCCATGTCGCACACGCGCACCAACATTCCGCGAAGCCACTTGATATACACTCGCGCACTGCACACACCACCAGGACGCGTCTAGTCGCCCGATATGAGACCAGCAGCGAGCATGTCCTCGTCCGCAGCCCGCGCATTCCACCTAGGCAAAGTCTTGTCAGGCCGGCTCAAGCCTCGGACCCCTGCAGTCTCGTGGCAATACTCAAAAACGACATACACATGGTCCGAAAGGTACTCTGCCTCATCTACCCTCTATTCCGATAAGCGGATACTAGTAGCTGGCGAGCCTCACGTGAGGTCAATAACGCTTGACCCTTGCGGCCGAACGCACGTGGGACGACCAATCCRGTTGAAGAGGTGCAAGTTCAACCGATTGGCCCAGGTAGAGAGCAACTCTCCCCTTAGGTTACCCCTACCCTCCGGGTCCCATCTACAGGCCCGGGCATTGAAGTCGCCAGCAACCAGMACCGGAGAGGTAGGGAATCTTCCCAAGAGCTCTTCGAGCTCGTCCAGGAGTCTACAAAATTCACCAATAACCTCGCAGGGGGAAAGTAGACAGAAATCACCAGCGAGTCCTCCCACTTAACAGGCACAAAGAAGTTATTCTTGAGCACCAGACTGCAGGGTCTTCCGCTTTCACCTTCCAGTACCGCAGATAGCGGAGCCCCCCTCAGGGACGAGAACTATTTCTTATCCCCGGGAGGCACCCACCACGGCTCTGCGATAACCGCGATCTCCGCCCCACACTCGCGCATACGCTGGATCAGTAGATCCTGTGCACCCCGTGCATGGTTCAGGTTTACCTGCACACATTGTACACTGTGGGACATTGTTAATGATGCAGGCTTCGCACACCTGTTCGTATCGCAGTGCTTGTCCGGCGCTACTGCTCCACTTGCGTCTCTTGTGGGGGTGGACAGATCCACGTCCATCACCATATCATTCCCCCTATTAATCCCCCCTATCGAAACACTAGGCACTCGAGCCTCACTAGCACTCGCGGTCGCGCACGTTTCGTTATTTGTCCTTCGCGGAGGGACCACCAGACACTCCCAGGTCCCCGCACGATGGTTCTTGTTCCTGCGCCCGGCGTCCCTGCACACCAGACACTCCACCTTGTTTTTGAAGTCCTTCGCGTTGGGGCCCGGTTGGCCACACTGATGGCAGAAGCTTGCCCTAGAGGTCGGGCTCGGGCTGCTCGCAGCAACGTGACCCCTAGCCAGGCACCGGTGGCAACGCAATGGTCTTTGCCGGAGCTCGACCACTGTTGCTCGGTATAGTCTGAAGTCTATCTTCCCTTTCTTGATGACAGCATGTGCTATTTCTACTGGAGCAGAGAAAACAGTCTCCCAGAGACGTCCCCTACCCATCCTTATTACACCAACCCAGATTTTATTGGGGTCAGAGTTCCCCTTTATTGTGAGGAGAGCGTTCCTCACAACAGTCAAATTTAGGCTTAGGTCGATGCCCATCAGCCTTAAGGATCTCATTCTCTGTGGCCGAGCGATCTTGGCCTCCGGTACCGTCCTCCTCAGAGCCTTGGCTACCCTGTCTGCCTTTACAGCGGCCTCCTTTCCCCTGACAATGAAGATGAAGGCTTCCGTCAGACCCCTCCTCATCGTCATACTCTCTACCCTAATCTCCTTGAGGCTAATTTTCTCCCTGGCCTTGGCAAGAGCATCCTGGTACGTCATTGGCTCTTTGCGTACCAGTGAGACCGCTGCAGTCTCTCTAGTTCCGCCGCCGCGGTTTTTCTTTTTCTTTTTCTTCTTCTTCTTCTTATCCATAGTGCCACTTCCTGTGGCACTTCTCCTGTTGCTCTCTTCTACCTTTTTTGAAGGTTCCCTCGTAGCAACAGTCCTCTCCGTCTGGTAGCGGCGCTTCTTTCTCCCCACCACCTCGATAAAACCTATCCTGTGAAGGGGCAACAACACACGCGGTAAGCACTCCTGGGGCGGGAGCCCTCGAAGTCCCTGGAGTAGGAGCACTCTTCGTTCCTCCTACCCCAGTCCCTTCGACCAAGCTTGTCCTTCGCTTGTATGATCTATTAGTGCTAGTGAAGGCGTTCCACAGCTCTACTTGGTTACGTTGTAGCGCCTCAATGCTCTTGTTGACTTCTCTCTACATGGCCATCACGTTCTTTTCTCTTGCATCCTCTAGCCTCTTCTCCAAAGCTGGGGGTGCTCTGTTTGCTGTGGGCATCATCTGTTTCATTTTACTTGGGGCAGCAAACGCCTTTACCCCCTGGCTTTGTTTTTCAGCTTCGCGCTTCTTGAGCTCCTTCCTGACCTAAGCGATCTCTTCATCTTTTTGACGGATGTTTTCATCCCTCATTTTAGCCTCCGTTCTCAGCTGAATTACAGCTTCAGCTCTTGAGAGCGTGGAGCCAGACTGCTTGTCCATTCGCTTCTCAATTTCATCGGCAATGATGAGCGCCTCATTGATGAGGCGCTTCATCTTGCCCGATACCTCTCCTTTCATATTAGAAAATCGCGCTCTTTCAATTCCCCTCCTCCTTAGGTTTAACCTAAGCTTGTCCGGGATTCTTCCTGCCTCCAGCGTTAGTAGCAGCTTTCTTCCATCATTCCCTTATGGTGCGTCCAGTTCGACGATGAGACAGTCGTCCTCCTCCGACGACGTGATGATACGCCTCATCCTCTTGCTCTCCCTGGTCTTGATCGGCGAGTCCGAATCCGACAGCCGCAACTCCCCTAAAGCCCTAGCTTCCCTCTGTTATTCCTCCAACCGTGCATCATATCTTGGAGCCTTCGTCAATTCGGGGGCCAGGTCACCTAGCTGCGAACAGCTTCTTGAGGCATTAACAAGAGTCTGGGCCGGGTTGTCTACCACAGACTCCTGACAGTTGCATGATGTCGACGATGAGTGGCCTGTCATACCACCACCATGCATCGCAGTTGTGTGAGTTTCCCTCCCACACGGGTTAGTCTTCAAGCTTGTATTTTCCATAATTTTTTGTAAAAAGGAAGGCACAAGCCCAGAGGAAAAGAAAGGAAACGAAGGAAGTGAGAGACAAGAAAAGAAAAAAAAAAGGGGATAGGAAGAATTACAGAAAGGTATAGCCACACAGAACATACACACACCATTGACACCCTCCCATTTAGTCGTCTCTTACGACAAGCAGGGAATACTGTGGGAGTATTCTACTACCCCCTACCCACAGGGGGGACCCTGACGCATCCCTGAAGCAACCCCGACATCCAACCCTGACGCATCTCTAAAGCAACCTTGACGCTCCCACCGTGACACATCTCTGAAGAAACCCCGACGTTCCCACCCTGACGCATCTCTAAAGCAAACCAGATGTT